TTAGTCATCTAGTGCTGCTATAACAGAAATACAACAAGTGGATGGCTTTAACAAAAAGAAATTAATTTTCTCACAGTCTAGTAGGCTAGAAGTCCAAATTCAGGGCATCAGCTCCAGGGGAAGGCTTTCTCTCTGTTGGCTCTGGAGGAAGGTCCTTGTCATCAGTTTTCCCCGGTGTAGGAGCTTCTCAGGCGCAGGGACCCCAGGTCCAAAGGACGCACTCTGCTCCTGACACTGTTTTCTTGGTGGTATGAGGTCCCCCTTCTCTGCTCACTTCCATTTCCTTTCATCTCTTGTAAGATAAAAGGTGGTACAGGCCACACCCCAGGGAAACTCCCTTTACATTGGAACAGGGATGTGACCTGAGCAAGGGTGTTGCATCCCACGCTAATCCCTTTAACATAATCCAATCTTGCCTTTTTAACCACAGGCAGAGATTAGGATTTACAGCACATAGGAAAATTATATCAATCACAAAATGGAGGACAACCACACAATACTGGGAATCATAGCCTAGCCAAATTGATGCACATATTTTTGGGGGACACAGTTCAATCCATGACACCAATTTATCTATCCTGTCTTTTGCTGCTCGTGCCTTTGGTAGGAAAATAGTTTTTATTGTAGAAGTATATTTTGAATGTTTCATTATGCAAAGTACCATGTGAGATTTTTTTGGTTGTTATTATTATTTTAATAGGATATAGTTCCTGCTCTCAAGCAATTTAAAATAACCTAGGAGAAAGGCATAACTGCCTATGGGTAACTGTAATACAAGGCAGTAAGTTGCTGAATATGGCTGGACTGTCAAGCATAAGTTGCTAAATTGAGACAGTGTTATAAAAGGCTCCCTCAGGAGTTATATGTTGCATAGTAGGGGTCCCATTGGGATGTCTTGAGAGACTATATCTTAATTTTATAGATTAAACATTACCTATGATCTTTTACTTGGTTTAGAATTAAGTAGCCACACTTTTGAGGGGAAAAAAAGGTTTAATATTAAATGATGCTTGAAATTTTAAATTGATTTTGCTATAAAAGTAATTCATCCTTAAATGTAATGTAGCAAATGAAAGACATTGAGAAGATTCTCTCACCACCCTACTTACCCCAAAACAGTCATTGTTATTTAAAATTCAATGTATTTCATCCATTTCTTTTACATGGAGTTATTTTTTTTTAATTGAGTATACAGTTTTGTTCTGATTTTTCACTTGCCATTCCAACAGACATTTTCAGATGTTTTTGAAAAATATAATTCTTAATGCTAGTGTAACATTCTATCAAAAAGAAGCACTGTACTTAACTATTTATTACCTAACTTTTTTTCTTTTTTTTTTCATTTTAAATGTACATTTACAGTATTATTTTAATGGGATGATTTCTAGAAGTAGTATTGCCAGGTGAGTGGCTGGGAATATTTTTAATACACCTTAGATAAAAAAAAAAACTAACCTGTTGCCATATAACATGCATAAATTAATACTCCCATCAGTAATGAGTGTCCTTTTTGATTGCATCCGTGCTAGGTAGAAAATTTTAAAAAAAAAGAATAAAGCAAACCTATTGCCGTCGAGGCAGTTTAGACTCATAGCAGCTGTCATGGTTTGAATTATGTCCCCCCAAAAATGTATGTATCAATTTGGCTAGGCCATGATTCCTGGTACTGTGTGATTTTCCTGTATGTTGTA